CCAGACAGTCCACGTTTTTGCTCCCTCCCAGCTCCCTGCCAGACAGTCCACGTTTTTGCTCCCTCCCAGCTCCCTGCCAGACAGTCCACAGCAAAAACTTTGACTGTCTGAGAGTCTCGAAGGACCGGATTGGGAAACACTGGATTAGAAGATTCACTTGGGGTTTTGTAGAACATAGGACATGGAACACTACATGTGTATGTTGATGCGTTTCATTGAAATTTGGACAATTAGTAAAAACTGGTTAATAAAAAAAAAAAAAGTGTTGGCATGACTGTTGCACTTTTTTACAACTACGCTGGAATCCTGGAATGTAAAGTCCTGCTGAAGAACCATCAAAAACGTTTGTTGACAGGAGTGTTTACAGTGGATATAAAAAATGCACACACCCGTGTTAAAATGCCAGGTTTTTGTGATGTAAGACAATGAGACCATGATAAATAATTTCAAAACTTGTCTCACCTTCAATGTGATTAAGCTGTAATTAAATCAAAAGCCATTAGTCTTTCACGGACCACTTGTCCTTCAATAGAAATATACAGGTTATAGCTGACAATTCCAATTAAAGGTGGGAAAAGTTTTGAAATTATTTATCGTGGTCTAATTTTTTACATCATAAAAACCTGCCATTTTATATCCACTTCATGTATACTATTTATTAGCTCTCTTATGTATGTAATAATGAGCTCCAACTCTCAAACACAACACTGAAAATATGCATCCTTAAGCTTCAGAAGTTCAATTGTCTAATAGAGGCTGGACAAGTTCTCAAAACATAAACATGGACGTTAGTCATTAATTCCAAGGTGAAGATCAAAATTTTTGGAACACAAGATGGGTTTGAGCAAAAACATGGAATACCAGGTTACTCTGCCTTATATCCTCCCAGAAGGGGTTTTGAACCCCCATTATACCGAGTATACGGGTAGAGAATGAGGACCACTTGTGATTGGTGTAACATCATTAGTGTTAAAACAGAGAAATGTCCCTGCACGTATAGATTTAAAACATTTGCAAATTTGTGTGTAGCAATGAAAAATGACTTTCTGCTTTGCAGAGTAACATTGTAGTGAGGGATTACACTTGCTGTTTTGCAAATGTTAATTGCCATTTGAGAAACGCTCCAAAAAAATTGAGAAAAACTGCAAGATCCCTTAGCATGTTACAGGATCAGGAAGATTTTGTTAGATATCAGTTTATATTTTACATTTGAACCTTTGTTCTTATGTTCTTATTAGTTTTCCATGAACCTCTTGTGTTGTCACTTCTTGTTCTGAGAAGAGGATCAGGTCAATATTTACCTCATGTCCCTCCCATTCCTACCCGTGCCAGGTGCCGTGTTTGCCTGGGTGCCTCTTATGGAAATGCTCGGTGTGGGTGTGGCATTCCCTCTTTTCAGCGGCGAATCTGCTTCCGACTGGAAGCTGCACTGAGAGTCGGGCAACTGATCTGCCCCGATGCTAATAAGTGAAACTGGATAAGCAAATATGCATGCAGCAAATATGCATGCAAAACAGCGAACAGAATTCAGAAAGGTCCTTTTCTCTGTGTTATCAGATCCAACCATTGCTCTGAATCAGATAATTTGCCATAGCCACTAATGCAATCCAGAGTTACGGTACGTGTGATTGTGCATGTGAGGTCTCTCACACACTCACTCACACATACTGTGGGCAACAAAGAATCTCTGATTCAATGCCCTAAAGCATTGCCTTCATAGTCATTTCAATGAACAAGACATGACAGCTGTAATATACATAAATAAAAAATATTATAATGTATATTCAGATTGTCATATCTTTTTTCTTCTGTTCTCCAAAAAGTAACTGATATCTAGCCGCTCCGTGTATTTATTAAATCTCACCTTCAGCTCACTTAATTGTGTAAAATGAATTATATAATTATATAAATTATATTAAAATGTTGGCTTAGAATCAGATGCACTTTGTCATGCATAGTTATAGTGTACATTTATTACATTCTTTTTCCAACCATGCCAGTTATCTCTTTGGATATAAATTTTCAGTGGTATATAAGACAGGCTTAATTCCCATTTACCAACATTTTAAATTAATTAAAACAAGTAAAAATGCTTAAAACTATATCATTTGACATAAAGAGCAAATTAACATTCACAGTGGTTTCTCATCTGCAGGGCAGCATAAGGACATATACGTTACAAATTCATCGTTAAAATCATTTTCAGTTTTGTCGTAAATCACAACAAATACCAAGATCCATTAAAGATCTAGTCTAGATAACTATGTCACTATATAAATAACCAAAGTCTTGCAGGCAGAAAACGTCCACAGATCAAATTCATTAAACTTGATGGTGATTGGTCAAATCCAGATGGACTTCCTGTTCCTGATTTGCTGGTGAAGCAGAGGGGCGTGCTCATTTCTTGCCTATGAAGTGAGCCATGAAATCCATGGGCAGGGGGAAGACGATGGTGGAGTTCTTCTCTGCAGCGATGGTGTTGAGAGTTTGCAGGTAGCGCAGCTGCAGCGCAGATGGTGACTCAGCAATAACCAGTGAGGCCTCCTTCAGCGCCCGTGAAGCGTTCATCTCACCCTCTGCCGCAATCACCTAGACAGGGAACAAAAGAGGGCAAAATACACATCAGGGTCCATCCTAGAATGAGCTGTAATGATGATAATTAATGCAAACAGTTTCTGGGCTGTACGTCAGCATTTTTCTAGGCACTTATCTAAGACTCTTGCAAAATATTAATCTGCAAAAACATTTTAAAATCAGTGGTTGACTGGTTATCTTCAATCGCTCATGTGTGAGAATTTCAGGTTAATTTCAATTTCAATCAACCAGGTTGAATTGAAATTTACCTATTTCACTACTATATATAAATTTACCTATTTCACTACTCTGTTTGTATATGTTTGCTGCAATACATCTGCCATCTGCTGGTCTGGTGGAGTATTACTGCTGTATACATGCACTTACCGCAACCAACCGTCTGCAACCCGAAAGCGCATGTGGAAAAGCACGAACTAAACTTATCAGTCAATTGATAAAGCAGTAATACAAATCTCTGCCATCTCTGCCATCTCCCCCTCATACAGCAGCACACTGCGTCCCGTTTCCCGCTGACAGCCTGGCCCCCCCTGTTTTGACCGCCGCCCACCCGCCATTGCTCACCTTGGCCCTGGCCTCCCGCGTGGCCTCCGCCTCGGCCGCCATGGCCCTCTGCAGCTGCTGCGGCAGCTTCACATCCTTGATCTCCACTCTCTCCACCTTGATGCCCCAGGAGTCTGTTGCCTCATCCAAGTTAGACTGTGTGTGTGTGTGTGTGTGTGTGT